ATTTATTTTGAAAGACAGAACTTGAGCAGGGGAGGGTCAGAAAGAGAGATAGAGAGAGAAAGAATCCCAAGCAGGCTTTGAGCCATCAGCACAGAGCTCAATGTGGGGCTCGAGCCCACAAATCATGAGATCATGACCCAAGCCCAAATCCAGAGCCAGACACTTAATTGACTGAGCCACCCAGGTCCCCTCCCAGCCCCAATTTTTTTTAAAGCATTCTCAAAACCCAACAGTAGAAAAACCAAAGAGTCTAGTTAGAAAATGGGCAAAAACCAGAGACATTTCTCCAAAGAGGATATACAGACGGAAAGCAAGCACAGGAGAAGATGCGTGATGCCATTGACCATCAGGGAGATGCAAAGTAAAAGCAAAATAATATATGGGGTGTTTGGGGGGCTCAGTCAGTTAGGCGTCTGACCTTGGCTCAGGTCACGATCTCACAGTTGGTGAGTTCGAGCCCCGTGTCAGGCTCTGTGCTGACAGCTAGGAGCCTGGAGCCTGCTTCAGATTCTGTGTCTCTCCCTGCCCCTCCCCCACTCTCTCTCTCTCTCTCTCTCTCTCTCTCTCTCTCTCTCTCTGTCAAAAATAAATAACATTTTTAAAAATTTTAAAACTCTCCTTTTGGGGACACCTGGTGGGCTCAGTCGGTGGAGCATGCAACTCTTGATCTCAGGGTTGGGAGTTCAGAGCCCCCCATTGGACATAGAAATTACTTACAAAATAAAACAAAATCGGGGCTCCTGGGTGGCTTAGTCGGTTAAGCGTCCGACTTTCACTTGGGTCATGATCTCGCGGTTCGTGGGTTCGAGCCCCGCGTCGGGCTCTGTGCTGACTGCCAGCCCAGAGCCTGGAGCCTGTTTCAGAGTCTGTGACTCCCTCTGTCTCTGACCCTCCCCTGTTCACGCTGTCTCTCAATCTCTCCTAGAAAAAATAAAAATAAAAAATAAAAATAAAAAAAAATCCAAACCTAAGTACTTTTTTTTAAGTCTCCTTTTGGCACGGATTAAGGTCGTCCTTTGATAGATTGCTGTGGCACAATTACTTCCAAAAGCACAGTGTAAGCTACTTTCATTTTTACTTATTATTATTCTAGGAAGTGGTTGGCCTCACTGTTTTGTTCATCTCTCAGAATCAGTTTTGCGTTATCCAATGATCTGCTTACAACCATGGGCCACGCTCAGATTCACCACCTTCTCTAGTGGGTCCTTCTAATAACACGAGAGAACAGAACCTTATGCTTATCGTAATTTTCATTTTATTTTTCTCTTTTTTTCATCTTGCCTTTGACACAAAGGTACCTTTGATACAACTGATGAGACAATGTTGATACTTTTTGTTTTTTTTTTAAAGAAATCCCCATGGGCTCAGGAGCGCCTGGATGGCTCAGTCGGTTGAGCCTCCAATTCTTGATTTTGGCCTGGGTCATGATCCCAGAGTTGTGGGATCGAGCCGCTTGTCAGGCTCTGTGCTGAGCAGGGAGCCTGCTTAAGATTCTCTCTGTCTCTCTCTTTCTCTCTCTCTCTCTGCCTCTGCTTCCCCCTCCCACTTGCATGCTTCCTCTCTCCAAAAATAAAAATTAAAAAAATAGAAATTTCTATAGGCTCAGACTCAACCCTGAGATCAGGAGTCCCATGCTTTACCGACTGAGCCAGCCCGGCGCCCCTGGATATGTTTGAAACTAAAGTCCGCAGTTAGCTTGTAGGGTCACCCTTCAGATTGTGCATCCTGTGGGTTCAGACAAATGCATAATGACACGTCTCCACCATTATAGTATTGCGTGGGGTAGTTCTGCTCCCTAAAAATCCCCGACACCCCACCTATTCATCCCTCCCTTCCTCTGCCATAGCCTTGGCAACCACTCATCTTTTTACTGTCTCGTAGCTGTGGCTTCTCCAGGATGTCCTAGCACTGGGATCACACGGAAGGTACGCTTTTCAGACTGGCTCCTTTCACTCAGCCCTGCTTAGCACTTAACTTTTAACATAACAGTTTAAATTTTTCTTAATGTTTTACTTATTTCTGAGAGAGAGACAGCGTGAGCAGGGGAGGGGCAGAGAGAGAGGGAGACACAGAATCTGAAACAGGCTCCAGGCTCTGAGCTGGCAGTCAGCACAGAGCCCGACGCGGGGCTCGAACCCACGAACCACGACATCATGACCTAAGCGAAAGTTGGACGCTCAACCGACTAAGCCACCCAGGCGCCCCTTACTTATTTATTTTGATAGAAAGAGTGTGTGTGTGAGCAGGGGAGGGGCAGAGAGAGAGGGAGAGAGAAGCCCAAGCAGGCTCCGTGCCGTCAGTGCAGAGCTCGATGTGGGGTTCGACCTCACAAATCTTGAGATCATGACCTGAGTCGATATCAAGAGTCAAATGCTTAACCGACCAAGCCACCCAGGCACCCCTCGTAATGTTACTTTTTAAAGGAAGGCTCCCCCAAAGTGTGTATGCTTCAGGCCCCATAAACCTTGGGGTCACCCATATGGCTCTAGGAAAGCAGTATAACCCAGATTCTGGCTACGAAACCAGTCTCCGTGTGTAGAAAATTATACTCAGGCTTTTTACGGTTGAGGATGATTTCGTAACAGGTTCAAAGACCATGGAGAAAATTTTTAGGTGGAACAATTATTAACTTCAGAAGAAATAGCAGTTGTGCAAGAAAGGAACTGTGGCCGGATTATGCAGCGTGGCTCAGCAGTACTAGGATTGACTGATACGGATCCCGGATTGGGATTTCAGCAAAAATTGCAGGGGCACCTGGGTGGCTCCGTCGTTTAAGCATCTGACTCTTGATGTTGGCTCAGGTCATGATCTCAAGGTTGGTGAGTTCAAGCCCTTCATCGGGCTCTGCACTGGCAGTGCGGAGCCTGCTTGGGATTCTCTCTTCCTTTCTCTCTGCCCCTCCCCTGGTCTCTCTCTCTCTCCCTTCTCAAAATAAATAAATAAAAATAAATAAACATTAAATGAAAACCGTTGCAGACTAAATTAGGAGATTGTGACTCGTCTACATGATAGGGAGTAAGTAATACAGATTGATAAAGAGATATGCGTGTGTGTTATTTAGAAATTCTGACGGAAGGGCGCCTGGGTGGCTCAGTCGGTTAAGCATCGGACCTTTGGTTTTTTTAGTTTACATCCAAGTTAGTAAGCGTCGAGTGCAATGACGATTTCAGGAGTGGATTCCAGCGAGTGAGCCCCTACATATGACACCCAGTGCTCATCCCAACAAGTGTCCTTAATGCCCTGCGCCCACTTAGCCCATCCCCCACCCCAAACCCCTCCAGCAACCCTCAGTTTGTTCTCTGTACTTAACAGTCTCTTATGTTTTGTGCCCTTCCCTGTTTGTGTGTTACTTTTTCTTCCCTTCCCTTATGTCCATCTTTCTTGTATCTTAAATTCCACATATCAGTGAAGCCCTATGGTATTTGCCTTTCTCTGACTGACTAATTTCGCTTAGCATAGAGCATCAAACTCTCCATCTCAGCTCGGGTCATGATCTCGTGGTTCGTGGGTTCGAGCCCCGCGTCGGGCTCACTGCTTTCAGCACAGAGTCCACTTCGGATCCTCTGCTCCTCCCCTGCTCACGCTCTCTCTCAAAGATAAATAAAAACATTAAAAAATAAAGAAGTATTATAGGTGAAAACAAACAACAAAGGCAACTGGTCGTCCCCCACAGAGAATGGCCAGATCACACGTGGTGCCTCCAAACTTGGGCAATCTCTGCCAATGCCCGATTCCATGGGGCAGAACCCATCAGGGAGGCGAGCCTGGGTGGGTGTCCACAAAATCACAGAAGTGCAACGTGAAATGACGTGTTGCACCCATGCAGGAAAGCAGGAAAACTCCTGACGGGAAACCCGGATTGGGTAATTTTACGCGTCCACTTGACCGGGCCCCAGCGTGCCTGGGTATTCCGCCATCAGACATCATCGTGAGTGTGCCTGTGTCCGGGGATGAGATGAACGCTGGAATTGCTAGAGCGTGTTGGGCTGAGCCCCTGACCGGAAGTAGAAGTGGGCCCTCGCAGGAGAAGACAAAGTGCTCCCTGCCTGACCCCCTTCACCTGGAACATCGGCTGGGATGGCTCGGGAAACATCCGCTCTCCCGGGTCGTGAGTTTGCCACCTTCACAGGGGACCACACGTTGGGTTCTCCCGGGTCCCAGGCTTTGGACTCAGACTTGAACTGTCACCACTGGTCCCCCGGGGTGTCAGGCTCGCCCGCACACCTGCAGATTCTGGGGCCTGTCAACCTCCATGACCGCGTGAGCCAATTCCTTATAACAAATCTCTTTACTAAGTCACACACACACATACACACACACACGTATGCATCCGACTGGCTCTTTGGAGAGCCCTGCCTAATGCTCTGGGCACGAAATTGTTAACTGGAGAAGTAGGGGGCGTGAGGGGCATCCCTGTGTGTGTGTGTGTGAGAGAGAGAGAGAGAGAGAGAGAGAGAGACACTTTTTACTAATAGTATAAATTATTGTAGTAAAAACAAAACAGCAGATCTAATTGTTTAAAGGCTCTCTTATTATCGCCTTCAGAATGACCGTGGAAGGATGGAGGTCAGCCACCGTGGAGTGGCCGGGGACACCTCTGTGCTGGGGAAATGTCTACATCTGTTAGGGTCCAGAGAGGAGACCGTCACACTGGACACAGGGCACAGCATCTTCCCAACCTCCGTCCCCTCAGAGAGTATTTTCCGCGGGCCTCCAGCCAGCGGGGCCACAGCCCCCCCGGGCTGGGGGGGAGCCCCGTTGTTCCCCAAAATCTCTTCTGCAGGAGACCCGCCACCCAGATTTGGGGGCCAGGGGAGCTGTTTCCAGGGGCCGCCTCCCTCTGAGAAGCTCTGCTCCGAGCTGCGCTCCCCTCCGTGACCCATGTCCCTCGGGATGACGTCTCCAGGAGCGGCTGGCTGGGACTGAACCTGTCCCTTCCGGACCCCCACCCCTCCTTCGCTCCCCCACCCCTCCCAGCTCCAAACGACCAGTCCACACAGTTTCAAGGACTCATTTCTTCTTCCCCGATTGAGCGGGCTGAGAATTATAATCACGACTGTGACTTGCTGTGGGAGGCGGGACCCCAGCATCCCCAGGGACATCGGTGCCTACACCACCCGCCTACACCACCCCCTCCATCCTTCCTCCACCCCGGTACCCAGGCCTCTAGTTTTCCATTCTCCAAACTCCCCAGGGAGGCAGGGGGCGGGGCGGGGGCGGGGCCTAACCCGTGATGTTCTGCCTCATCTCGCACACCCAGCGCTGCACCTGCTGGCAGAAATTGTCGTTCCAGCGGCCATTGGAGCGCGTTTCCGCGCAGTCTTCGCCTCCTCCCACCTCGTGACCCTGCCAGTCATCTGGCTGAGTGGCTGCCCAGTTCCTAGGAAGGCAGGCTAGCCTCAGGCTCTGCCCCCCACCTACCCCTGCAACCAACCCTCACCCCCAGCTCAGGCAACCGCATCCGCATCCCGCATCCCGAGGAGGGGTCCTCCAGGGGGAGCGAGCTGTGGCCTTGGAGATTGGGGGATCAGACGGAGAGGGCTGGGGAATCTGGCCCCCGAGGGAAGGGTGGGAGTGCACTGGGGCAAAAGCCTGGCGTCCGGCCCGGGCCAAACCAACCAAGACGGGGCCGGGAGCCACTTACTTGTAGCTATGCTGATAGTCGGTGCCGTCCACCCATTTCCAGGAGCCATCGCTGTCGGTGAGACCTATCCAGGCATCGAAGGGGTTTGTGTGCTGTGAAATGAATTTCTGGAAAACAGGTGGGGTGAGAAGGAAGGGAGGAGATTCATTTCCAGAAATGCCGAATAAAAGCTGTGCTGTCTGGTTAGCGGTAGTTACGGCCTATTGGGAATCTGCACGTTAACCCCCCTCCCCACAAGGGAGTCCCAAACCCTTACACACCGCGCTTCCTGGTTCTTCTTCCCGACTCCGTTTTGCAGGATTCTTTTTCAAAGGCTTTGCAATGAGCATGCGCCACAGAACGGAAGTGACTGCATCACCCCAGGGAATGTACACTTGTTCTAACCAGACTACTTTTTGCCTTCTGTGGGCACAGGCGACCCCCGAGCAAGGCTGTAGCCTCCGTAGCACTCAGCCAATGAGGAACAAGGGGAAGGGCTTCATGCTAGGAAATAAATGGTCTGCTGTAACCGCCCCAGTGTGACTGTCCATCAGACGCCCTCTCTTGTCAGGACGTTGACTACAGCCTCGTATCACTGTGCTCCGAGTCTCTGCATCCCCCGCTTTGATGGGGCCATGGGCTTGTTTCCCACAAGTGGGAAGGAAGGTTCTAGGCCCTGGAACCTGCATCCAGGCCACAGCCGTGACCCCTCCGGTCTTCTCCAGCTCGATCTGAAGCATCAGCTCCCAACACAACTATTCTTGGTTTCTCTTCTGTAACTGGAGTTATTATCCAGTGGACAATTTCTGGGCTACACCTCGTGCGAAGTGCTTTACAAAGATTATCTTATTTGATCCTCATAAAGGCTCTAAATTGGGCGTCCTGGTGAGTCACACTTTACGCAGGAGGTTAAGGAAACTGAGGCAGCCGTGGAGTCCAGGAAGTCCTGACACCCCATGTCATTCCCAGCTCACACTGCCACCCCGACCTGAGTCCTCTCCTTGTCTTCCACCCATGACCTCTAACTCTTAGAGTCCTGATTCTGGCCCCTGCCTCTGCTGCCCCCATGGGCCCCATCACTCATCAAGGGTCTCGGTTCCAGGGGTGACTGCGCAGGCCACACGGTTTGGGGAGGTTGTGGAGGAACAGAGGGATGGCTCGACTAACACACACACCTAGCCCTTCCCTTTGACAGCATGTGGAGGGTGCACAGCCACACTTGGAGGGGAACCTCCTAGCTCCATTCACTTCCTGGAGGCTCACTAATGACCGCAGACAACCTCCTCGGGCACGGGTATGGTAGCACCCTTGAATTCTAGGGTCCTGCAACAGGACAGTGTTCTGTACGTGAGGGGCAGCCCTCAAAGGCTGGGGGGGGGGCTGCTCCCCAAACTCAGAGGAGTCAACAGGGCTGGAGGGAACATGCCGGAGACCAGGTAGTCTATTTGCTGCCCCCTGCTGCCCCAGCCGCCTCTTCCCACCACCACCGGAAGCCGAATAACTGCAAGGGATGGAAATCACCTCTATCCATGTTGAAGACTGAGGGAGGAATAAAATAGTAACAGTGCCAAATGCAAAACTACAGAGGAGGGAGACGAAGAGGAGGAGGAGGAAGGAGGAAGAGTGACATTAAAAATGGAGGTGAGGAGGGGCGCCTGGGTGGCTGAGTCGGTTAAGCGTCCGACTTTTGCTCAGGTCATGATCCCGTGGTTCGTGGGTTCGAGCCCCGCGTCGGGCTCTGTGCTAACAGCTCAGAGCCTGGAGCCTGTTTCAGATTCGGTGTCTCCCTCTCTCTCTGCCCCTCCCCCACTGGCATTCTGTCTCTCTCTCCTTCACAAAAAAAAATTAAATAAACATTAAAAGAATTTTAACAGAATTTTGAAGTGTGAGACCAGGGTCACTATTTTTTAGCCTCCAGTGTAAAGCCTGGCATTATACGTCGGAGGCTGAGAATCACCAGTTTAAAACAGAGAGTCCAAAGGCACGGACGGAGGTGGGCGAAGCAAACACGAGGAAAAAGCAACGAAGGGTGTCTACTTTTATCTGCACGCGAGGCATGAAAGCAGACCCTGACGGTCACTGTGTCACCAGGGCGTACAGCCTGGGCCACCACAAAGCCGGAGCCACCACGCACTTACTGCGGCTCAGGGCACAGAGAGCACTGCGACCTCAGGGGGACCCTTCACAAAAGGGGCATTTTTTTTCAAGTCAAAAGTGCTTGTATATGGACAGTTCCAACCTGATCGGCAAAGCAAAATGTGTGTAATCATTCTACCATATAAACACATATATATATTGATATACTTGATATATTGATAAATATGTATTTAAATTTGATATATTGGCATATTGATATATTTATAAATGTTCTTATATAAATACATATATTTGATTCCACTGATAAATATGTATAGATTTGATATATTGGCATATAGATATGAGGTATTGATATCCTTATATATGTTCTTATATATTTTTGATATATTGATAAATATATAGATTTGATATATTGATATAACTTGATACATATATATTTGATATATTGATAAATATATATACATTTGATATATTGGTATATTGATATAATGAATTGATATCTTTATATACGTTCATACATAAATATATATATTTGATATATTGATAAGTATGTATTCAATATATATATTCGATAAATATATTCTGGCAACACGTCAGGTTGAAAACACTGACTAAGGAGGTGAGCGAATCTGAATTCTGGCTCCTCCTGCATCGCGGGGAAGTCACTTGACGCCCCCCATTTCCTTAGTCCCCTCACGTCTCCCTCCCTCAAAGAGCGCCTGCCCCGTGGGGTCGTGAGGATTCCAGGTGAACTTGCGAAAGCTCCGGGCACCCAGCAGAGACTCAGGGACTGATCCCAGTCAGCTCCTCCTCTTCAGTAACACCCCCGTCTTCTAAGGCTCAGTCCCCCCCCCGGGAACCCGTGTTCGGGTTGTGGCTGGTGGCAGCGGTGGGCAGGGGAGACCTGGAGCACTTTGGAGGGACCCCGGAATGCTGCCCACCCTGTCCCTTTCACCCCATGACCACCTCCTCCCAATCCAGCAAGAAGGGACCCGGCGTCCGCTCCGTGCTGTCCAGCCAGGCCCCTGGCGATCAGGCTCCTTCTGCCTGGAATTCTGTCTCCCGACCTGACACTCGTCACCTGCCCACCTGGTTCCTGCCCCCGTGGCCGAGCTCCTGGCTGGAACGTCCCACCTCTTAGAATCAGTGTCTGCTTCAGCATGAACTTCCCAGGGCTCGGCCACGCCTCTGCTTCTGGACGCTTCCTTTGGTTAGAAAATAATAGGGGCGCCCGGGGGGTTCAGTCAGTTGAGCGTCCGACTTCGGCTCACGTCGTGATCTCATGGTTTGTGAGTTCCAGCCCCGCGTCGGGCTCTGTGCTGACAGCTCAGAGCCTGGAGCTGCATCGGATTCTGTGCCTCCCTCTCTCTCTGCCCCTCCCCCACTCATGCTTGCTCTAGCACTCGCTCTCAAAAGTAAATAAACATTAAATTTTTTTTTTAAAAGGAAAGAATAGGGGCGCCTGGGTGGCTTAGTCGGTTAAGCGTCCGACTTTCGCTCAGGTCATGATCTCGCGGTTTGTGGGTTCGAGCCCCGCGTCGGGCTCTGTGCTGACTGCCTGCTCTGAGCCTGGAGCCTGTTTCAGTCTGTGACTCCCTCTCTCTCTGACCCTCCCCTGCTCACGCTGTCTCTCTCTCTCCTAGAAATAAATAAAATTATTTAAAAGAAAAGAATAATAAAGCAGCCTGCCCCAGCCCCCCAGCCCTGGGGGCGCCCACCTGCTCCTCCCTGGAGGTGATGACCACCAGGTGCGCGTTCTCCAGCCGACAGTGCTTCTCGGCCTCCGGCCAGGTCTTCCCGGAGCGCGAGAACCAGTAACAGCTGCCCTCGTACTCCAGCCAGTTAACGGGGCAGCACTCTGTGCCTGGGGGGCGGGGGGGAGGGCACAGGGCGATGAGACCCAGCTGGAGGGCACGGGCACCCTGGGACCGGGAGCCCCCCCTGCCCCGTCTCTACCATTGCTCTGGAAGAAAGTCATCTGACAGGTCAGGATGCGCAGATCCACGGGGAAGTGCTTCAGATGAAGGAGCAGGGCGGCGTGATCTGGGGCACGGAGGGGCGCGGTGCGGGCATGAGCGATGGGCGGTGCGGGTGCTAGGCCCCCAGGACCCCCCGCGGGGCGCCACACACACGCTCACACTACGCACGCTCGCACGCGTGCACGCACACCCGAGGAGGGTCTCTGACCTGCCTTCACGTCCCTCTGCTGTTTCTCCAGCTTGGCCTCCAGAGAGGTCAGCAGGTCACTGGCACTGCCCCCTGAAGAAGGAAAGCTCGAGCATTTTCGCTTCCCTCTGCGTCCACCCTGCATCCCCTCCCCTGCCCCCCTCCCCACTCCACCCTGTCCCCAGAGCGGCTTTCTAAGCCTAAGCAGGGTCCCCGTGTTCCCCAAACGGAGCCCCACTTCATTAGCAGACATGACCCGACCCCTCACCACTTAGCCTCGGCCTCGCTGCAAGGGGTCACAGTCCCCAAACCCACCGGGTCTTCCTCCCCTCCTGGCCTCGCAGATTCTGTTCCCTCTACCTGGCACTAACCCCCAGTCTCTGCTTCTGCCTCATCATGCTTCCGGGTCCCTTCGCCCAGGGATCGGCGTCCCAGGAAGCCTGGGGGCTCCCTACCCCCAGCACCGCATACGCGCCCCCTGCGCGGGGACAAGCCGCAGCCCCTCCGCCCACCGTGCGAGCTGAGGGCGCCCATCTCCGCGAAGACGCCGGACGAGAAGTGGCTGAAGTTGTCCTTCAGGATCCGCAGCTCCTCCTGCAGCCCGGCTCCTTGCGGGGACACGGGGGCAACGGGGCAAAGTGGAGCGGCGCGTCCCCAGGGGCGGTCCCGCCCGCCCGCCAACGCCAGCGACCCTCACTTTGGGACCCGATCACGCCGACGGCCACCAGCAGCAGGACGTTGAGGCCCAGGACGAGCAGACTGAGGTGGAGCCTGGAGCACAGACGCTGCCGCAGCAGGCCCTGGGCAGGAGGGGCCCCTGCGGGAGAGGGGGCGTCAGAGGGAGGGGCTGGGGCCAGGCCACCTGCAGGGAGGACTCAGTGGAAGCCTGGGGGAGGGACGCCCAGGTGGGTGGCAGGAGAGTAGGTGGGGGCAGTTGTGGGGGGAGTCACGGGCTTTGACCCCAGGGCTCAGGCCTGCGCACACTCACCCCACGTGCACACACGCAGGTGCACGCGGCACCAATGCACAGGGCTCGCGGCATTCACACCCGCTGTGTGCAAAGCCCGGATCGCAGGCCTGGGGGTCTGGGGGACCAGGCTCTGTGTTCCTGCACCGCGTGCCTGGGCCGCTCGCACACCCAGAACAAGCCTCCCCCTTCAGTCCAGGTCATTCCACCGCAGACCGCTCCCCAAGGGCTGCCCTCAAGCCCGGTCCTGTCCCGCCCCTCACCCCCCACCCCTACCAGCCTCCTGTCCATTTCCTGCTGCACTTGACCCCCCACAGCCCCTCGCTCCGCTGCGAACTCTCCCCTGTAGCCTCAGTCACCTCCCAGAAACCCTGACCCCCACACACCTGCACACACATTTCTCAGTTCACACTCACACACGTTGCACACTCATCGCTGCGCACACTCTCTTTCCCCCAGCACATCCCGCCCGGCCCCTGCCTCCCTCACTTCGGGACCCGATGGCGCAGCAGGACGCTGAGCACACATTCTCACACGCTCTGTCGCAAACACACCCCCGCTTCACAGGCACTGAGCTGGCTGCGCCCCGCCCGGCGCCCCCTGGCCTGGGACAGCGCTGTCCTCCGGGCCGAAGCGCCCGCTTTGGCGCCGTCTCCTGCAAACAACATGCTTCCTCTTTACCTTGGGCCCCACTTTCCTCCGTCCTCACTGCCGTGACACCTTGGCACCCCTGCATCCTTGGGGGGGCGGTTAGCCAGGGGCCCTGAGACTTCCTCCCCAGTCTCTACCTGGAGTGGACACTCCCTGTGAGTGACCACCCAGAACTCCTGAGATCCTCACGCCAGTGACTGTCACCTCCTCCCCTTCACACTCAGGACTTCATCTGGAGCCAGAGAGGCCACATCCCTGACTCCCTGCCTGCTCCCCGCTGTGAACACAGCCCCCCGTCCCCCCCGTGTCCGACACCCCCCCACCTCATGCCCTCCTGATCCCCAGGGCGCCTCTCCATCCGTGACCACGGTCATCCCCGGCCGCGCAGGTCCCGGGGCTGAGTCCGCGCTCTCTCTCCAGCCCTGTCCACTAATCAGGCCCCTGCCCTGCTTCCCAGCCTGACCTGCAGGGAGGAGAACCCACAGACCCCAGTCGTGGGCCAGCGCGGCAGCCTGTCCCTGCCCCTCCACTCAGATCAGCCCACCAGTGGCCAAGGTCAGCTCCGAGATCACAGACGAGTCACTCAGCTTCTTGGGGCCTCAACTTTCTCATGCCTGCTTCTGTGCGGTATCCAAAACCTAGACTCACAGAAGTCTAGGATGGTGGTTGCCGGGGTCCAGGGAAATGGGGAGTCACTGTTCACGGGTAGAAAGGTGTCGTTTGCGGGCGAGTACGGGCGGGACATCCGCTTACGGCTATGCCTGTGGCTAACAGCGCGCCCCGGTGCACTGGATTCGGACTCAGGGTTCTTACCGCAGTAAGAAAGATGGGGGTCAGAAGAGGAGCGACCTGAGCGGGTGGTTCTGAGAACACGATGGGGTAAAATATAAGTAGTGCTGCCCAGGCGAGTTAGAAGGTAAAAGCAAGGGCGCCTGGGGGGCTCAGTGGGTGAAGCCTCCGACTTTGGCTCAGGTCACGATCTCACGGTTCGTGTGCTGACAGCTCAGAGCCTGGAGCCTGCTACGGATTCTGTGTCTCCCTAGGGGGACCACGGGGCCAGAGTTCACAGGCCAGAGTGTCGGAGAGGAGAGAGCTGCCTGAGAATTCCGGGGGTCTGCAGGGGGCTCCCCCAAGCAACGGGCTGCGCACTGATCAACACGTGCATGTCAGGAAAAGTACCCAAGGCCAGGGAGGACAAAGCCAACCTGCAAGGGCGAGGGAACTCATACAGGACTGGGAACGGTGCCTTGGGGGGGGGGCCCTCCAGACCCGCCCAACAAATCAGACGAGCAGGGGCACCTGGCTTGCTCTGTTGGAAGAGCATGTGACTCTTGGTCATGAGCTCAAGCCCTGAGGTGGGTGTAGAGATTACCAAAAATAATAATAATAATAATAATAATAATTAATCGTAAAATAAATAAGGTAACAAATTTTTTAAAATCCATAAAGCAAAAGCCAAAAGGATCAAATTGACTCCAAGATGCTTAACAGCAGCCTGGAACAAAGCCTGAAAATATTCAGAGGAGTATAAATATATCCAGCACAGAACACAGTAAAATTCACAATGTCTAGGCTGCAATCAAAGATTACCAGGCATACAAAGAGACAGGAAAACACAGCTCATATTGAGGAGGTTAGTAAATCTATCAACGCCAATCCAGGGGCGCCTGGGTGGCTCAGTCAGTTGAACATCTGACTCCGGCTCAGGTCATAATCTCACAGTTTGTGAGTTCGAGCCCCACGTCGGGCTCTGTGCTGACAGCTCGGAGCCTGGAGCCTGTTTCGGAGTCTGTCTCTCTCTCTCTCTGCCCCTCCCCTGCTAGTCTTCTGCCTCTTTCTCTCTAAAAAACAAATAAACATTTAAAAAAATTTTAATAATAAAAAAATGAAAGTACAAATCAAAGAAGATACTTAAAAGTCCCAGGCTCAACTCGGAGACATGAAAGCTACACACACGCGCAGGCTCAGGTTGGGAGGAAGCAGGAAGGAAGCTGCCTCCACCTTCCAATGATTCCCTCACCTCTGGGCAAACACCCCTTCCTGGGGTCCCAGGGGGAGAGAGGAAGGTGGGGTCAGGGGGCAGGCATCTCACACCAAGAGAAGCCAGGTCCCTGACCACTGGGGACAGAGGGGAGGAAGGGACCTGGGGGAGACAGAGCTGTCAGCAGCCAGGTGGAGAGGGAGCAAAGCCTCGGAGACTGGCCCTCACCTGCTCGGAACGGGGCTTCTCTCCTGAGGCCGAGCCCATGGTGGCCCAGCCCCTCCCCTCCACCCGGCTGGTGGTCGTTTCCCTCGGAGTCCAGCTGCTGAATGTCTTGAAAGTCCTTGGCCATGCTGGGTCCAGGCCTGGAGCCCGGGGGCCTCGAGGCTCGGGCTGAGTTCGGAGACTTGAGCTAAGACGCTGATGCCCGCAGAGGCTGATGCTGTGGGTGGAGGATCGGAGCAGATGGAGGTCACCGCCTGGCTTGGGTCTAAGGCTGGAGGCAAGTGTGGGGCTGAAATGCAGCTTCCCAGGACGTTGCTTGGGCCCGGACCTGGCCAGGAGCCTCCCTTCCACACTTTCATGGACCCAAGCACCCCCTCAGCCCCCACCAGCCCCCACTGTCCCTGCACTAGGCTCTCCTCGATACCAGACACCCCAGCCCCACCTGCGCCCGACCTTGGTTACCTGTCAGAGGTATGGAGGGCCGCCTCCCGGGGGGGTCCCCAGGCAGCCCGGGGCCCAGGGCGAGGAGGGACTAGAGCCGGGAGGGGCTGGTCCCGGCCAGGGCCCTGAGTCCGTGTGTCCGAGTGTGCAAGCGGGTCTAACCTGGCATCCCCTGCCCCTGGGACTTTGGACAGTAAATAGAAGTGGAAACAGGGTTAGAACTCAGGCGAGTCGAGGTGGGGGCGGGGGACACAACTGCCTGTCCTCAGAGAAATGGGTCTCCGGTATGTGTGCCCCTCACCCCCACCCGCTGTCACCTCGCTCCTCACTGCACAGTCCGGGAGGGGTCGGGGCCGGGAGGGGCTGGGGTGCCGGTCTGTTTCCCCTCTGCCCCTCCCCCTCTCACATCTGCCCCCGGATTTCCCAGAACTGCTGGTGTCTCCAAATCCCCCGGGTCAGGATCAGAGGCACCGGATCCCGGCTCTTGCCCAATGTGAGGGCTCCCCGGCTCCGGGCTGCCCTGCCTCACTCTCCTGGGAATAACGCCCCTCGGGGACTGGCCTCGTCCCCCATGTGTGACCCTCCCAACGCGGTCCCCCGGGGGTGCACACTTCTGTCGCAGCAAGGGTCAAAGAGGGGACAAGTCAGGGGCCCCTGGGGGGGAGGGTCAGCCGGTTAGCTGACCAACTCTTGATCTCAGCTCAGGTCATGATCTCCCAGTTCGTGAGTTCGAGCCTGTCATCAGGGCGTGGGACCTGCTTGGGGTTCTGTCTCTCCTTCTCTCTGCCCCTCACTGGCTTATTGCTCGCTCACTCGCTCTCTCTTTCTCAAAATAAATAAATAAACTAAAAAAAGAGGGGAAAAGCCATACGGTACGAGAGGGGGCCTCACGGTCCTGTGAGAGGAAGGGGCTCCACGGACTGAGGAACGGGAGGAACTACCGAGGACCCCAGGCTCACCGTGGCTTGAGAAAGACGTTTTTCGTCCCCGGTGTTCTGACCGTCACCAAACGGCCTACTGGCCGAGGACAGAGCTCCTCTGACTCAGTTAAGCCCTGGTGCTGAGAAGGATCCGGGCCCGTGTTTCCCGGCAGGTAACTTGCTGACACAAGGGGCGGCCACACGTTCCAACCTCCTGCCTTCCTGCAACACCCCCCCCTCCCCCGCACAAGGCGGTTATGGCTGCTTCGGGTTTTTGACCGTGTCCCACACACACGTGCACACACACGCACCCTCTGTGTTGGACTTTCCTCTGAGGCCCCAGCACCTGCCACATAGTAGGTGCCTAACAAGTACTTATTGACTAAATGAGCGGATGAAGGAATGAATTCGTACATGCTTTGTGGCCACGATGGTTTCCGAAAACAACGCTCGCCTCGCTCCTTGCATCCTACTTCGTGACCAAACTAGACAAAGTTTCCCAATCCGCCAGCAGGCCACCCCTCCGCGTCTGGAAATCATTGCTCGGAGGCCCCGATCTGGGCAAGGACGTGGCTTGAGTTCCAAGATTCAGGCAAGAACTTTCCAAGTGGATTATCCACTGCCAGACAAGGTTGACCAGCTGACGTCAGGGGATGGGGGGATTCTCACTGGCCACCCACCTCCACGGAACTGGGTTCAACCCACCCCCCTCCTGGTGAGATAGGACAGGGGACACAAGAGACATTCAGTACATCCTTCTCTTTCTCCCTGTTCGAAAGTCAGCATTTTAGCGACGCCTGGCTGGCTCGCTCAGTAAAGCATGCAATTCTTGGTCTCAGGGTTGAGTCCGAGCCCCACGTTAGGTATAGGGATTACTTAGAAATAAAATCTTGAGGGGCGTCTGGGTGGCTCAGTGGGTTAAGCAGCCGACTTCGGATCAGTCATGATCTCACAGTTCGTGCGTTCAAGTCCCACGTCGGGCTCTGTGCTGACAGCTCAGAGCCTGGAGCCTGCTTGGGATTCTGCGTCTCCCTCTCTGCCCCTCTCCTGCTCGCACTCAGTCTCTCTCTGTCAAAGATAAATAAACATTAAAAAATATATTAAAAAATTCTCGAAAGTCAACATTTTAAGTTACCAAAAGCTGACATACTTAGATTATTTCTGAAGTTTTATATTGTTTTATCACTTTTTTTCTTGGGTTTTTCTGATTTGGGTTATGGAATCCTGTTTATTTGGTTGACTTTGGTTTGACTTTTTTTGGGGGGTACCTCAGTCACAGAAAGTTAGGTGAGCTGTACTCCTGGGCTGGTGACACCCAATCTTCGCTCCTACTTACCCTGTTCCCCCCCAAACCAATCTTCCTACTCTCCACGAGCGGCCAAAATGGCGTGTTTGCTGCATGTGACAGTCTCCAAAGATGGCGGCCATCAACTTCTCTTCTGATGGGCATGCAACAGAGCTACTGTCTACCCCGCCTCCCTGGGAAGCTGGACTGTGTGACTTGCCATGACCGATGGAAAGTGCTGGAAGCAACACTCTGACAGTTCCGGGCCCAGCCTTCAGCTTTAAATCTTGGAAGCCAGCCGCCATGTTTTACGGAGGTCCAGCTATCCTGCTACAGAGAGAGAGAGGCCCGGGCTGAAGGGGGGGAAGTAAGACAGGATATGGACATTGAGAGAATGAAAGAGAGAGAGAGAGGCCACAGAGAGAAACGCTGAGGCCTGAGGACATGTGAACAAAGCCTTCTGGGAGCTTCCAGCCCCGCCCAGCCCAACCCAACAGCTGAATACACCCCAACACGTAACCCTAGCCGATTCAACATGGGCCCCCCGGCCTGGCCTGCCCTAATTTCTGGCACCAGAGAATCTTGAGAAATAATAAGCAGTTGTTTGTTTTAAACCACTGAAATTGGGGGTGGATATTTGTTACACATCAACAGGTAACCACAACAGTATTTATTCTTCAATATACATCCTGGTAAAATGTATGCATGTCTGTCTGTTACGTAAGTAAATGGAACTTTAATAAATCTTTTGTTCCTGACCTTCCTCACCCAGCAACAAATGTTTCAGATCTGCCCAAGTTGCTGTTAGCAGATCTGGCTTGTTGCTATGAACTGCTGCGTGGAATTCACTGGTCTGTGTCGATCGGGGTTTATTTACTCCTTCCCATAGTTAGGAACCCAAGGCTGTCGCCAGCGCCAACCACCACAAACAACACGGCGGCTAAAGTTCCCATCACGACCCTGTGTGGACCTACGTGAGAAGTTCTCTCGGAACTATATCCAAGAATGAAATTGCTGGGTCAGAGAATATTCTCGCACTTCATCCCAGGCACACACACATTTTCGCGCTGGTGAGATCATCTCCACTAACCCGGAAATTATCCTTATGTCCTCTCTCCGCTGGCCATCACGTTTCCATGCAGATCTAGGCAAAGCATTCCTTGTATAATACGTTCAAATTACGAGATCACAAAGGATTCTCATGCTTGATTTCCCTGAGTCCCATCAGGGCGCACAGTTTCCAGAATAGCTATGCTCCAGGACACCCCCGCCACCACCAGCCCATGACAGTCCCCCCTCCAACCCCCATCTGGTTCATCCTTCATCCGTCTCAACCTTTGATATCATTCAACTTCCCGGTTGCTGCCGATCTGACGCCATCTTGCCAGTCTCTTATTTCACTTTTCCAGTTAGGAGTGGGCGTGGATCCTTCCTCATCTGTGTGGCAATCATTTTGAGTTTTTCCTTATATGAACTGCTTTTTCACATCCTGTGTCTATTTTCCTTTTTTATTTAAACCAGGCAAAAGCGCGCACGCAGTCCCCACTACCACAAATTCCGCAGTCGAGTTTCCCCCATTTGGGGAAATCGCAGGGGTCAGCACCTCCAGAGTGAAACGGGTAAGCCTCACCCTGGGAAGACCACCTGTGTGATCACGGTATTCTCCCGTATCCTTTGTCTATTTTCCTAGGGGGCTTCCTGCATTCACTTTGTGGATGAACCAGGACTTCTGGTATGTTCTAGATGCTTGTTCAGAAAACAAGAAAGGTCTTTTGAAAATAAAGTATTAACGACAGTATTGTTGAAATCAAAAAATTAATAGAAGCTTTGGAAGATAAAGTTTAGGAAAGCTTCCAGGAAAGAGAGGGGGAGAGAGAGAAAAAGAGAGAGAGAGAGATCAAAAGAGCAGAGAGATAAAGGGAAAAAAATGTTTTAATAAGAAAATAGCTGAATTAGGGGGACTTTTCCCCCGGCCTCATGTTTCCACGTACATTTCTCATTAGGAAAACTGCCTGGGCCTCCACCCCAGCCCCCCAGCCCCGCACTCCTGCCCAGGGGAGGAAGTTTGCGTTGCTGTGCTGACTTTTCGGACTCCGCCCACCTGGTAATCTGCCCTCTGCCAGGAAGGCGAGCTTTGCCAGCGACTGGGCACGTAGGTCGGCCTGATTCTTGGATGAAATCTTAATAAGTCCTTTCAATTTAAGATTTTAAGCCAAACCCACCTTTTACTGCATATCAGCAATAAAACCAATATATCAATAGCCACGCATCGGTCTGCTGTGACTTAGTCCGGAGGAGAGCAGGCTCTTTGTTCATCTGCCCTGTCAAACCTCCTTAGGCAAAACCACATAGAGAACCAGCAACCCCTAGGAGAAGTTCTAGAAGGAAAAACAGGGAGGAAAAGAGAGAAAGTTATCAAAGAAATAAAGCAAGAATATTAGTTAGAATGAAAACATGGAGGCTCTAAATTCGGATAACCTACGAATCGCTCAGCTCTTCACTGGAGAATGACCCGAAGTGTGCTGCTGTGACATTGCAGAATGCCAGGGAAGGTTCTGGAAGCCACTGGAGAGGGAGGGAAATCTCCTATAAAGAAATGAGAATGAGAATGGACCCCATTCAACACCTGTTAAATTCACCACTAGGTGGGGGGGTGGGGGGGCGCCTGGGGGATTCAATCAGTTAAGCATCCGACCGGCTAAGGTCATGATCTCCCCGTCCATGAGTTTGAGCCCCGCACTGGGCTCTGTGCTGACAGCTCAGAGCCTGGGGCCTGCTTCGGATTCTGTGTCTCCCTCTCTCCCTGACCCTCCCCTGCTCACACTCTGTCTCTCTCTCTCTAAAAAATAAACATTAAAAAACAAAGTAACAGGGGCGCCTGGGTGACTCAGTCAATTAAGCGTCCGACTTTGGCTCAGGTCATGATCTCACAGTTTGTGTGTTCAAGCCCCTCGTCGGGCTCTGTGCTGACAGCTCAGAGCCTGGAGCTGCTTCGGATTCTGTGTCTCCCTCTCTCCCTGACCCTCCCCTGCTCATGCTGTCTCTCTCTCTCTCTCTCTCTCTCTGTAACAGTAAATACCCCTTTCTGTAAACAAATGTGCCACAAGTAACACAAATCCGCCTGGCATTGGGGCGAGCTGTCTAGGATGCACCAGCCCGCCAACAGCACCCCTGCAGAGCCCACCCTGACTCCACTCTGGCCGAGTCCTCGAGCTCCCACCTCGGAGGCTGTGATGGTGATGCCCCCGCCCCCCACATGAGAGGTTCTGTGTCCAACCTCACCCTCCCCTCTCCGTCTCCTCTGCTCTCTTTTTCCCACAGCACATGTCCGTGAACTAGGTGGCACATTTGGGGTGCTCAGGGGATCACCTCTCTGCACACCCCAGACGCGGGCACCTCAGTCCCAGGCCCTCTGGGGGGGAGGATGACACCAGCACGTGGTCTGCCCCCACTGCGCATGTGTCGTCTGAGTGAGCGCCTGGCCTTTGTCTCTTACGTGTGTTTACAGTCCCCGTCCCTGCCCGGACCCCCGCTCTCTGGGCTCAGGAAGGACCTCACTCACCCCTCAGTCTCTGCCCAGCCCCACGACCAGCCCAGTGAACGCTCGCGGCCCAGTCTGCCCTGTCTACATAAAGGTGAGTCCCGGCCTAAAAGCAGCTTGGGGAAGACCGTGACCTCTTGAGTCAAGCAAACACCAGTGGGAACTTGGGTTCCGCCCCCTACCAGCCCCGAGGGGGCCCTGGACAGGTGACCTGAGATCTCTGAACTCCACTTTCTTTGTCTGGAAATGGATTATTTTAATACTATCGGCCTCGCGCTGGGCCTGTGGAACTGGATGGGTGAGCAGCGGGGGGGGGGGGGGGGGGGGGGGGGGGGGGGGGGGGGGGGGGGGGGGGGGGAGCTGACATCGAGCCTCCTCCTCACGGCTGGTGCTTAGTAAAAATCCACTCCCTCGCTTCTTTTGAGGCGGGAATGGCGGGGTTCGGAGCAGAGGGCCAGGACAGAAGTTTGGAGATGTCTTCGGTGCAGACGGTTGTTTTATTAAAGCTCGGGGACAGGACACCCCTGGGGTTGTGCGGAGGGACTGATCGTAGATTGGTAGGGGGTCGGGGACAGTGTTAGTCTCTGGGGAATTTTGGACCTTGAGGGAAGGAAGGACTCAGCTGTTGTGAGGGACACGTCATTCACGACTGAGACCCTTCAGGGGCCACAGGCTTGGAGCATGATTGGCAGCACACATCTTGGGGGGGGCGGGATAGAGGAAGATTTCAAAGGAATGTTTATGGTAAAGGGGACTTACTTACAGGCGCTCGGGCTGAGTGACTTGTGCCCCCAGCAAAGTGTCATCGAGGCAGCTGAGCTCTGGCAGGAAGGCCACTCTGCCTGGTCCAAGGACTGTCCCTGGACTGGGGACAGTAAGGACGTTTAATTTCTCATCTGCCTTTGTTTCCCACATCGCTGTCACCCCCCCAGCGGCTGCAGAGAAAGCTCTCCTCCCCTCCCCCCACCCTGGCAGCTTGGGGTGCTCAATCTACGTTTGCCTCCCTGGCCTGGCATCGGGGGAGCCCCCAGCTTCCTGCTGCTGGGGGAGGGGGGAGGGGAGGAGGAGGGAGAGGGGGAAGGGAGGGGGTGGGGGAAGGGAGGGGGGAGGGGGAGGCAGAAGAACCGGTCCCTGGTTGACCATTTGGAGACAACAATCATTTTGGGAACTTCAAGGGCAGGAAGTGAAAGGAGGGGTGGGGGCAGGGGGAGTGGACAGGAACCTTGGGCCCCCGCCCCACTTCTAAGTCACAAGCATGAGGAATCCGGGAAAGCCGCCCGGAAGGGTCCAGGGGAGAAGCCTCCCCAGTCCCCCTGCTCCCCGCTGACCTCTCCAGGTCTCTGTTCGCCTCCACATCAGCCTTATCCCACCCTCGCCCCTCCCTCCCCCTTATTCACTCCTGTGTTTCACAGCGGGTATTTCTTCAGGGTCAAGGGTCAACTTGGAGGGAGGTCCCGAGCCCCTGTTAGAGTGCTCCGGAGGACAGAAGGAGACGCGGGGTCATAGAATCTTCCAGTATCCCAGCTGATGGAGACCTACGGCCACCCCCAGGCCGGCTCCTTCCAAGGAAACTGAAGCCACAGCAGGGAGGGTGTGGGCGGCACTGACTCTCCCCAGGCCACCCTTCATGGCTTGCAGACCACCCCTTCCTGCTGTGTGTCCTCGCTCCGCCTCCCCTCTGCGTGCGTCTCTTAATCTCTTCTTCTTCTCTTTTTTAATGTTTTTTCATTTTTAAGAGAGAGAGAGCGAGCAAGCAAGGGAGGGGAAGAGAGAGAGGGAGACAGAATCCGAAGCAGCTCCAGGCTCCGAGCTGTCAGCTCAGAGCCCGACGCGGGGCTCTAACTCACAAACCGTGAGATCATGACCTGAGCCGCAGTCAGCCACTCAGCCTACTGAGCCCCCAGGAGCCCCTAATCTCCTCTTCTTATAAGAACACAAGTCATGTTGGAGCAGAGCCGTCCCTAGTGACCCCCTTTTACCTTTTTAAAGACCCTGTCTCGGGGCACCTGGGTGGCTTAGTCGGTTAAGCGTCCGACTTTCGCTTAGGTCATGATCTCGCGGTTCGTGGGTTCGAGCCCCGCGTCGGGCTCTGTGCTGACTGCCAGCTCAGAGCCTGGAGCCTGTTTCTGTCTGTGACTCCCTCTCTCTCTGACCCTCCCCTGCTCACGCTCTCTCTCTCTCTCCTAGAAATAAATAAAACATAAAAAATAAATAAATAAAGACCCTGTCTCCACATACAGTCATGTTCAGAGGGATGGAGGGTGGATAGGGTTGAAATATATGAGACACACACATGTGCCTTAGCACAAGCCTCCCCCTTCCCTGGAATCCCAGCCCAGGCATTCAGCCTCCTGGAGGATATGACCTGAGAGGGCCTTACTCCAGGAAGCCCTCCCTGACTCACCAAACAGAGCTCCCCCTGACCTCCTCAGTGCCGCCTCCTCGCTGCTTTGGGGACCACGGTCTCACATGCTGCGGGTTCCCACCCCCAGTCTGATTTTAGAGTCAGAATGGAGGAAGACTAGGGGCTCCGTTGGACTTCAGCTCAGGTCATGATCTCGCGGTTCATGGGTTCGAGCCCCGCGTCGGGATCTCTGCTGTCAGCACAGAGCCTGCTTCAGTTCCTCTGTCCCCCTCTCTCTCTGTCCCTCCCCTGCTCGCTCTCGCTGTCTCTCTCAAAATAAATAAAGTTCAAAAAAAAAAAAAAGAGGAAAGCTGTTCGGCGCAGATACTGGAAAAGTCTGAGGAAACAGTTCATCAAAAATTGTGAACAATGGGGCCCGTCTGCCGGCTTTACCATCACTTGTGTTTTGCAGCCCGCTCCCCCTGCCAGGACTGGGTGGAAGGGGTGGGTGAGGGGAGGCCCTCAGGCTGCACCTCCTGGCTCCCTCCGGCCGTCAGCACCTGCCCAGCGTGTCCTGTGTACTGGACCCCCGAGGACCACACCATCAGCGCTGTGTCCCCACTACTTGGAAGAGCTCTGGGCGGGGCGCCTGGGTGGCTCAGTTGGTTAAGCGTCCAACTTCGGCTCAGGTCATGATCTCACGGTTCGTGGGTTCGAGCCCCGTGTCGGGCTCTGTGCTGACAGCTCAGAGCCTGGAGCTGCTTCGGATTCTGTGTCTCCCTCTCTCTCTGACCCTC